TGAGTAGCATGCCACAAAAATTTCACTTCATTTGGAGCCCTAGATCTACAGTTATGAAAAATAACAAATTCAACTAGCATTACAACCTTACTGCACAAATCTATTTTTACCGCAAAATATTTAAACTAAAACATGCTATATTATAGATCCACTGCATAGAGAATTTCACAAGGATTCCAAAAAGTCCTCATTTACTATTTTACGAATTTTCTACGATTTACTATGAACTTTCAAAGTTCCTGCAAAATAATTACAAACCAGTCCTTACGGCACTATTCACATGAGTCACAGGTTCTGTAGAAAGGCCCTCTCCTTTTGTCGAATTGCTGTGCGAGGTCCTTGACGGGGTCTTGAACACAGAGGTCGTCGGGATTTCGCCGTTCTGGCCGGAGGAGGCCACGCCGGCGGTGGCTGAGGGGCGAGGAAGCATGGAGGAAGCAGGCCACACCCGCAGGTGGCCTCGGCTTGGCTCGAGGCGGCCCTAGGTGGCTTGGCCACCTGCGAGCGAGCGGCCGCAGCGGCACAGCACGCCGGCGGCGACCCGAGGGCGGCAGCAGCTGGCCTCCTCAGGCGAAAAGGAGCGGCGCACACTGGAGAATACACCACGGTGCATAGGAGAGACAGAGGGGGCTCGAAGGCAGCAGGGATGCGGCGGCGGCAAGCTCGGCCAGCCGGCCATGGCGGCCGCGCTCTGGCACGCGCGGCGGGAGCGAGAGAAGGCAGGCAGGAGGCGAATGGAGAGCGGCGAGTGAGCAGAGGAGGCTCGGGCATCCGCATTTGGGGTGCAGGGGGCCGGGCGGCGCGTGGCGATGGAGAGGGCGCGCGGTGTCCATGCAAGAAGGCCACACGTCATATCGTCGAACACGTGGTGCGCGTAGAAGTGGGCAGAGCGAACGTCAGTTCTGGCTGGCTACAGGACGAATTAGCTACTGGGCCTAAAACAAAGTTTGAAGCCCGCAAACTGCTCTTCATTTTTTATTTAGAGACCAAGGTCATTAGAGCTCTTCAACAGCGGGTAATTAAGCCACAAACTGTCAGTGTCAGTGCCTTGATAACGGTCACGGAAATTCACTTTCGGAAGTCAAAACTCGGTCAAACTCAGTGCAACTTTTTGCATGCTCTTCTCCATAATATAACCTTCAACTTTTATTTTTGGACCAACTCAAGTTGCTTAACGAATTTCAGAGAACGCGGAATGCCAACGTCGTTGCTTAGCGAAACTCCAGACTTAGAATATTTCTAAGTGCTGAAAACAACAGCAAATTCGATCTTGTGACCTTGATTTGACTTACTTCCAAGCTGATCTAACTCTTAGTACAAAAACAAAGTTTGTTCTACATGATATGGACTACAACTTTCATTTAAGGTCCAACATCAAAACTGGTATAGAACCTGCTGTTCTACTTTGACCAAAGTAGGATCATGATGAAGCTTAAATTATCCTTTTTGATCCATTGGAGCATTTTCTTGGCATTTGCCCAACATGAACCTTTCATGAATTTTGTTGTAGAGTTCATCTAGAGTCATTTTGGCAAGGTTGCAAGGTTTGGTTGATATCTCATGTTCTCATTCACTTAATAGTGCAATTCAAGCACTTAGTAAAATCATTCCAACAAGGATATAACTTATCATTTCATGTGACTTTTTGATTCCAAACTTCATGAAACTTTTCGAGTGTCCAATATAGACGGTTATTGATGTGAGACACATGAAGATATCCCAATCACACCACCCAAGCATATATCTTGAAAAGGGGTTTATAGGCGAGCAAAGGTGCAATATCCAAGTTTAGGTTGGGGCTCGTTTCTATAGGTTTGACCTTGACATCTTCATCATCACTTAATATACCATGTTTTAGCTCAAACCCATTGCTTAACTAGTGGCAAACACCTGGGGTGTTACATTCACCACATAATTTGGTATACAGTTCATGTCTTGCAAATATGAAATGTCATCAGACCCACAATACTGATCATACGTTACTAAAATCTTAAATGCACCACGCAGAGAAATTCCAGCAAAAAGCAATAGTAGCTTAAATAATATGTATACATTGATCAATCTGACGCAATTCAGCAAACCCATCAGTTTCAGCATAACCAGCATTCAGAACCATGCATTGCATATAGCAAAGGTCATGACTACAAATTACAAATTGGATCAACTGCTTTAATGACAAAACATATTTAGTTCTTGCAAACTGAACAAATTGAAATAGAAATTCAAACATATTTCTTTGCATTAAAGCATTCGATTCATATTATGCCATATCGAAAGGCCATCCAGTTGCTAAGACTACTGAGTACGTGCACCAGAAAGCCCTGTTCAGCAAAAACTACTGTATGTAGCTATCTACAGAGATTTCATCACTATCTCGGCAACATGAGCTGATTAGCTGATGCGCACACAAAAGAACTCAGTCTGACTGCAATTCAGCAAACCCATCAGTTTTAGTGCAACCAACATTCAGAACCATGCTTTGCATAGCAAAGGTCATGTCTACAAACTACAAATTAGATCAACTGCTTTAATGACAAAGCATATTCAGTGCTTGCAAACTAAACAAATCTGAAAATAATTCTTCGCATTCAAGCATCGTTTCTAAAAGCATTCGATTCACATTTAAGCTACTACGATTTTTTTACCTATGAATTACCGGGGCTGCAGTGGGCAGACGCCGTGCCGGAGATGGTCGCGAGGACGCTGGGCCCTAGGTGGTGCTCGACCGAGCGCAGTCTCCTCTCCGGGTTGCGGCGCGGCAAGCGGATGGAGGAGATCGGCCGCGGGCGAGACGAGTCCAGGCGGCGGGCCACCGGTGGGAGCGACCGGCGTGGGCGGGCGGGTGCGCGCGAGGCGGCGCGCAGGCGCGGCATTGTGGGCGGGGTGGCGTGCGGGGCGGTGACGGGGGCGGCCGGCGGGCCAAACTTTGCCGGTGGAGGCGGCTTCGGAGCCGCGGCTGGCGGGCGAGCGCGCCGGGCGCGAGCACGGCGGGCGGGCACGAGCGGGGCAGCGCGGGAGAAGGCGCAGCGGCACGAGGATGACGGGCAGGGCGGGGGGCGGCGCTGGCAGGGGCGGTGAGGGAGCGAGGGGAGGGGAGGTTGCAGAGGACGCGGTGAGGGAGCGAGGGGACGGGAGTGTGCTTGCGTGCGTGAGTGAGTCTCGGCCGTGCCAGTGAAGTCTTGGGTCAGGCCTTTGCCGAGTGTCCGCGATCCGGCACTCGGCAAAGTCAGGATTTTTTTTAAAAAACATTAAAAATCTTTGCCGAGAGTCAAGCCGATAAGGCACTCGGCAAAGACTATACTTTGCCGAGTGCGAACCCTAGGACACTCGGCAAAGGTATTTTTTTTAAAAAAACTTTTCTATTTCCTTTCCCTTTTCCTTAACCGTTTTTTTCCAAATTTGTTCCGTTACACTTTGAAAATACCTTGTCAAATTCACTCAACAATGCAAATTTGATGCTTCAGCGAAAAATAGACCATGATTTCATGTAGTTATAGCTCAAATTCCATTTATATAATTGCAATTACAAATTAATAATTATCAAATGGATCCAAAAAATCGCTAAAATTTAACATGACACGATCTTTGATGTCTATTGGCTATACAAAAAGTTTCGGAGTCAAACCACAACTCGACGGACACTTTCACTCCAAATCTTACCAGATCATTCTCAACAATCATGAAACTTCTTCGGAGATGTTTCGGTTTGTAAGCAATGTACGTGACAACTTATGCGACACCTTCTCAATTTTTTACCATAGCCTCCACATATGATATCATGACATCTTATCAAATTTCATGATTTTCGGACTTCCTTTGCTTTTTATAGAATTTAAAAACCATTCAACCACACGCTCGGGGTCGTGTTTCCAAAATAAGATGTTCGAAAACCCTTATAATCTTATAGGTAAGGCCTCAAGCTGGGTTGAATAACATGAATATCAATTTTATACTCATTTTTTCCAAATATTTGAATCACTTGCAGTTCAAATTTAACTTAATTCAAAAAATTGCTTGAAATGCAATTAATTAGTTAAATATAGCAAATAAATTCAAAATACACCAAACTTAAGCATGGAGTACCACATGTGGTATGTGGAGAGGTGAAAATTTTTGAAGTGCAGGAGTCAAAAAAAAATTATACTTTGCCAAGTGTCTGCTTTTGACACGGCAAAGAGCCTCTTTGCCGAGTGTTGCATTTGTACACTCGGCAAAGAGTTGACGGCGGCAGGCTGGTTTAACGGCGGGCCAAAATTTGCCGAGTGTGAGACGTTGACACTCGACAAAGAAAGTCTTTACCGAGTGGCATGTCTGAGCACTCGGCAAAGAGGACGTCTTTGCCGAGTGCCAATCCTGAGCACTCGAGCCGAGGGTCGTTTCGTTGTCGAGTGTTCGAGTTTGGGCACTCAGCAATGACAACCTTTACCGAGTGTCCGAGATAAAAAAACTCGGTAAAGTTCTTGGCACTCGACAAAGCTTGCGATTCCGGAAGTGCAGGTTACCAATACCACACACGCCATGAAACAACCGACAAAAACTAGCTACTCGTTCCGTTCCAAATTATAAGTCTAGCCGTTTTGCTATGCATCTAAATATATTAATATATCTAGATATATAGCAAAATGAATGAACCAAAAAAGTCAAAGCGATTTATAATTTGGAACGGATGGAGTAGTAAACTATGTAAACACGGCGGTGTAAGATCATTGACACTAGGATATATATATATATATATACATGCATGATCACATAAATAATATATCTTCGTGCATGAATATTTTTTTTACTCAATTCTACCATTATATTCGGCCATCCAAGAGAAGTAAAGAACTACATAGTGGCCGTTTTTTTAGCAGACGACAAACTTAGAAGCAGATCCGCTCCTTGTTTTCTTTGTGCCGTTGTAACAGTGCTGCCTTGACCTCAACCGGACTTGTGTAGCAATATAGTATAATAATATATATAAAGCCGCTCTATCAGAGTCCAGACCATGGTGATGACTAAGCAGACACATTGTAGAGATGCACCGGCAAACGAGGCTGAGCTTGTAAGAAGAGTGGCTCAGCTAGTGCGAGACTTGCAGTGGATTCCTTGAGCTCGATCGTACGGACGCCAGGAGGCTTGGTCCACGTGAACCCTTGCAGAAGCCTTGCGAATAGCATCACTGTAACAGAGCTGCCAAGTGACACCCCTGGGCATCCCCTCCTACCTGCGCTGAACGAGATGAACCTAAGGTCCAGCTCGGTGAGAACCACATGCTCGTTCATCACCAGGTGTCGCTCTGGCCGGAATTGGAGAGGAGCATCCCAGACGTCTGAGTTCCGGCCAAGCCCCACCCGGCTCAGAAGGACATGGCTGCCCTTGGGAATGAGGTAGCCGGAGACGACGGCGTCTTCCATGGCGACGTGGGGCGGGTTGAAAGCATGGTAGGGGTGCAAGCGGAAGGCCTCCCGTAGGCACGCTTTCAGATAGTTGAGGTGAGGGATGTCGGATTCTTGCACGAGCCTGTCCTTGCCAACCGTAGTGTCCAGCTCGTTCATTGCTTTGTGCATCACCTCTGGCTGGTTCATCATCTCCACGAGTGCCCATTCAACCGCGTTTGATGGGTTGTCAACAGTTGCAAACATTATCTCCTGAACATGACACAACATAGATGAATCGGTGACACAGAAAAACATAGAACTTTTTGTAGATAAATTAAAGGAAAACCATGGCTAGGTCTGGTGCTGTACTTCAACTACTCTCTACAAGATAATAGCTTGATCAAATCTCAACTGTTGTTTTTTATGGCTCTCTCTCACGCAGGCAACCTCTATCTTTCCTTCCTGACATGAGCCCGTTACGGATTGCTAAACTTTAGACCATAGGATCGAAATAGGCTCTAATCCTGAGTTATTATTAACCTAACTTCTGACCATGTGCATGCTAAATATTTATATATGAGTTACAACTTATAAATTATGCCAGTACCACGGAACGTAACACTAGGGATCAGTTCAGTACTGCTAACACATAAACAATATCTGCTTGTCGAATAATTAAATTGATTCAATACTAATGCATAATTCATGATATTTAAGGGGTATCTATTTTTTAATAACTCGGTGCCGAGCCAAATCCGTGTCTTGTTGTTCACAGTATTACTTTCTCCCATCTCTATGGACGATATATACGTGCATCTATCACAACTTCCCTACACTTGTTGTGAGGTGGTAAAAAAGCACACAAAAATCACGCTTGAATACATCACAGTGACTATTAAAGACCATTTCATAGTTATGTAACAAACATGTCAGGTTAGTTATGACTTTGTGTTATACACATTTAAAAAGAATAACATTAACCTTTTTATTTTAGAAAACTTACAATTTTTGTCGATCAAGACAAAAGAAACGTCATGACAAAAGTAAGTCACGTCACGTAACTATGATGTTTACTATATTTGGAATGTCGTGTATACCCCCGTCCATAAAAGAATGCAATTCTCGTTTTTTAAGAGGTCAAACAGTTTGAACTTTGACTAAATTTACATAAAAGTACTAACATTCATGATACAAAATAAGTAGCATTAGATTAATTATTGAATATATTTTATACTAAATTTATTTGGAAATATAAATGCTAATAATAGTTACTATAAATTTGGTTAAACTTGAACTGGTTTGACCGGCATGGATCCCATAATTGCATTTTTTATAGACGGAGAGACTATTATTTTAGAATGTTCCCAATTTCCAAAATAAACTAATGCTTGTTCTAACTAAGGGTTTGTCTGGATAGATTAGGACTAGTTGTTAGCCATGGTTAAAAAATAGCTACCTAGAGAGAGAATAGAGGATAGAGATGACTTTTTTTTTTATCTGTAGCACTTTTAGCGCCCTTGTTAGCTAGGTTTGAAGGACTAGTGAGCTAACAACGGGGGTTTTGGCTAAACTTTAACCCACCCATTAGCCTTCCTATTTGGATCTTCAAGGGCCAAAGTTTATCAATTAGTTGTTAGTCCATGACACAAACAGAGAGAGTGAGTCTCAAAACTGCATGCAATTTCAAATACTCTTACACAATAAGAAGTCAAGAAGAATTTACTGTAGAGAAATAATTCTGTTTGGAATGCAGCGTAGTAATTAGTAAATATTAACATATCTTACCGCTGTCTGTGCTTGTATTTCGTCAAACGATAAAAATCGTCGCCCTTGTGAATCCTGAAGAGAGACTAGCACGTCAAGAAAATCTCTGGCCTCCCTCTTGTCACCGCGTTTGCGAAAACCATCCCACTCATGGATTCTCTCTTGTATGATGGGACCATGCAATCTGTTTATAGTCTCCATTACTCTCTTGGCAACCTTCTTATGGCCGTCAGGGTCGAGGCCAGCAATCATCCACGTCCACGCAGCAGGGATGTAATCAGAGACGGAGAAGCTGTACACGTAGTTGAGCAGCGTGAAGAGCGCGTCCACGTGCGCTACCTCCTCAGGGCCCGGACCGCCGCCGCCATTGCCAGCACCCGCACCAGCAGCGACGGAGAAGTGTCGCTTGCCGAACACGAGTCTCCGTATCATGTTGCCGCAGAAATGCCGGGCTACATGGCGCACATCAACGACGCTGTTAGCGTTAGCTGATGTGCCGCTGCACTGGCTGTACACGAACCTGACGAGGTGGTCGGCCTCCTCCGCTCGCCGGCGCTGTAGCCGCTGCTCCATTGACGTGGACAGGATCTCGGAGGTGAGAACCCGCCTCATCTTCTTCCACTGCTCCCCGTAGGGTGACAGGATTGAGCCCTTGTACCCGAAGCTGAACAGTCCAGAGGCGACCGTCTCCGGGCGAGACGCGAAGACGGCGTCCTTCTTTCTGAGAACCTCACGAGCTATTTCTGGGCTGGAAACTACTACGACATGAACGGCTCCAAAGCGGAGGCATAGGATGTTGGTGTTCATGTCCTTGAGAAGGCCATGAATCCATCGGAACACCGGCCTCTTTGACACCACACAGTGCAGGCTGCCGATGATAGGCAACCCAGCCGGCCCTGGCGGCAGCCGGTGCAGCAGCTGTGTTATCTTGGATGGCGTTGCTTTGGTTCGGTAGAGAAATAATAATAAAGCTAGGGCAAGAAAGGTGCAAAGTACTGTGAACGGAGGGACGACATGTGCATGGCTAGGTGCTAGTTCCAGGATTGATGATGCGTTGGAGCTCATCATACCTATTTGTGTTGGGAAGTACATGGTTCTGTGTTCAGCACAGTCTGTGGTATTTGGGCAAGCAGGCTGCAAGTTTGTGTTGATGCTGTGAGCCATAGGGGAGCATATATTATATATAGTACTCCTCTTGATGAAGACCCTCTCTACCCAACCTGCTTGGATTGGCTCCCTGTTGCTGTTATCTATTTTGATCGGTCTGATTTGGAACTCCTTCAATGTTAAGAAAGAAACGATTATAATGTTTTAAATAATAGCAGGATAAAGCTTGCATTTAACGCTGGCCTTCTCCAGAAAATATAAAAATATATAGCAGATACAAAGCAAGCTATTTCATTTAGCTGTTTACAGTAAATAATGTGAAATATACAATACATCCATACAAACATTTGACTAAAGCAAATTTCATAAACACAAATACTCAAATACATGTACATGTTCTAGAGTAACATGTCTCCATGTCCACTACCGGAAACCTCAAATTTGCCGAGTATTTTTATGTTTGCCGAGTGCATTCTCTCAGGCACTCGACAAACAAATTCTTTGCCGAGTGCTATCCTAAAAACACTCGGAAAAAAAACACTCGGCAAAGAGGGGAGTTTGCCGAGTGTCAAACAAAAAACACTCGGCAAATAGAGGGTTTACCGAGTGTCACGAAAAAACACTCGGGAAAGGGAGGTTCGCCGAGTGTCTTAAAATCAACGCTCGGCAAAGTAAAAAAATATAGAAAAAAACCACCCGCAATAAAATCCCGCCCCTTCCCAGCCCCCCTCGTCCTGCCCGCCCCTCCCATCCCCAGTCCCCCGCACCCGCCCCCCTCCTCCCGCACCCGCCTCAGCCCCGGCGAGATCCCCTCCTCCTCCTCCCCCCCCTCCCTCCTCCTCCCCCCTTGGCCGGATCCAGCCCCTCCCTCCCCCCTCCCTTCTTCTTCTTGGCGGGCCGGCCCCCCCTCCTCCTCCTCCTCCCACCGCCGGATCCGGCCCCACCCTCCTTCCCCTTCTTCTTCCCGCCGGTGGCGGCCCCTCCCTTCTTCTTCCCTTGGCCATGCTGCCGGATCCGCCCCTCCCTCCCTCCCTTCTTCTTCCCCGTCGGTGGTCGCGCGGATCCAGCCCTCCCTCCCTCCCCTTCTTCTTCCCCCCCGTGCCATGATCAGCCCTCCCTCCCTCCCATTCTTCTTCCCGGCGATGGCGCAGGGTGGCTCGGCCCCTCCCGGTGATGCGGAGCAGCAGCAGCAGCGGGTGGCGGTGCAGATCCGCCCTCCTCCCCTCCCTCCATGGTTCCACCGGAGAGTGGCATCGCGGATCCGGTGGGATGGAGCCACCACGGCGCGGATCCGGTGGAGAGGTGTCCTCCGGCGGCGGATCCGGTGGGTTGGATCCCGGTGGCAGTGGATCCATGGATCTGACGGCGGGCTCCATGGCGGCGGCCCCTCCCATCCCCTTCTTCTTCTCCCGGTCGGCCGGCGGCTGTGGTGGTGGTGGTGGTGGCCGGCGCACCCCAGGCGTGGATGGTGGCGGCGAGCGTGGATGGCGGCGGCGGTGCTGGTGGTGCGGGCGTGGATGGCGGCGTGCCTTTTTTTATTTTTTTTTGAAAAAAAGTTTGTTGAGTGTTTTTTTTTTGCACTCGGCAACGTCTTTGTCGAGTGTCCGACAAAAAACACTCGGCAAACTAGCGTTTGTCGTTAAAGGGTTTGCCGAGTGTCGTTTGCTGAGTGTAACACTCGGCAAACCCTTTGCCGAGTGCCCCCGGCACTCGACAAAGCTCCTGGATCCGGTAGTGGTCTATTACATAACATTCACTAAATTAATCAACATCCTCACGGCTACAATCACATTATTCGTATTCACGAAACCTTCAATATTCAATGGTTTATTATACATATTTTATTAAGTAAATAGGCATATATTGTAGTCCTCTGGAAATATCTGCCTCGATTAGGATTTGTAGTGCTAAAAATATTTTATGGCTAAACCAAATAATGGAAGCCAAAGTGTTATTAGCGGCAATAGCGAAACAGTTGGCAATATCGAAGCAGTAGACCTATGAAAAAAAAGCTATAGTGGGCTATTTTAACAATGAGAAGAAAAGACCAACCTAGCAAACTAATTAAGACTCCCATCCATTTGTTTGCCTCTTCGTTCACAAAAGGGTAGAATGTGATATCTAAGAGCACATGCAGCAAGGGGAAAGGTCTACACAAGAAAGAAGGGAGACGAGGATGAGAGAACCAAGGACATTTGGAAGGATCTCAATGTACACTCAGTGGATTCTTCTAACATAAGCCTGGCACCTAACTCACTATTTGATCTTTGTGGACACAAGTGATTGGCACGTTCTTGTACCTCGGCACATAATATGCAAATACCGGCATTTAAAAATGTTTGTAGAGTGGATCACTTGTATATGTGCAGTGGAGGCTAGATTTAGATGATTAAACAGCTCCAAGGTAACATTGAGACATTAAATTGGATTTTTGGTGAGTTTTCTAGGGCATGACAAAGTAGCAGGTCTATATCTATCTGTCGGGGCTTATGTCATTATTTATGGGTAAAAACTAAGAAACAAAAAAGAGAGTCCGTAAGCACCTAAGGCAAGAAAGCTCCTAATTCTGCATATTAGTTGAAAAAGCTGTCACGCTTGCTGTTGTGAGGCCTAATCCCACCATATTAACTAGAACACTTGGGTCATATGGTCCAATACTAGAACACTAATAAGTTGTTGTTCCCCATTTCCTAAGAGCAAAATCTAATGTTCGATGTGTTATTATAGCCCCCGTCTACCATACACTCAAGCCCTAAAATTAACTGTTTGATGATATTGTTGCACCATACCATTTACCAATAACTTCGGTTATGGATGAAAATAGTTCAAGCATGAAAAATGTTATGTTAATGTTGTAATATGTCACAAATAGGTTTCAGTGCGCTCATATTATTGCAAGCCTGAGTGACTTATTGTATGTGTCCAACTTGGTGAACATATGACCAATCTTGGTGTAGTACTAGTTCACATTAAGACAACTAGATGGGTTTCAATAATTGTGAAAGCTAAATAAAAATAAATTTAACACTTCCTTCATCATTTATATAAAACCTAATTAAAATAAGCCATGGTTTCAAAACTAGATTGATTATTATTTTAACAGATAGGCCTTGATAACTTTTTTAGAATAAACTAGTAAAATTCCCAAACTAACACAACTAAAATTGAGTGAACTGAACTTCTTGGTCAAGAGATGTTAATGAAACAATGTTGCTGTATGAGACGGTGACAAGAATTGATCATTAAGCCCTAATTTTGCAATTAAGCAAAATCCATAAGGAATTAATTGTATTACTCATTTGATGTCATATCAAGTTTTTTGACAGATTGAATCAAGACTAATCATGCTGAACAATAAATCCATTTAGAAAAGAAAATTGACCTTTCAATACTAGAAAAATGATTTTTGCAGACAACATCTCTAATTAACAGAAGCAGAAACTTTAAGTTTGACCAGACAACGCTTACTCTAAAATGTTATGGATTTTTTGTTGTCCTAAATCAGACCACTTTAAGATCAAGTTTGTAGAAAAGAGTATTAACATCTACCACATCAAAGAGCTAAATTATGAAAATGAATTCCACATGTATGTAAATGAAGCACATATGGTATTGCAAATATTACTGTTCTTTTCTACAAACTATGTCAAACATAGGATGATATGACTTATTAGAACAATTGAAAATCATGTATTTTGATCCCAGAATAATAAGCGTATTTTAATCAGAAAAAATCAAACACAATAGAATTTAATCCTTAATATCTCTTATAATATGTTGTCACTAACGACTGAATATCATTTTATAGGAACTTTGAATACAAGTTTATTGATACAAAATTGTCTCATAAATTTGTATATACTTTGACTAATTAATAGTTAAAGTTTGTAAAATTTAACCTTTTTTGCCTATACAAAATGTGTTTATCATTCTGCAATGGAGGGAGTATTTCATGATAGAAGGAGTAAGTTTTTTTATGATCCAAGTTCTGTTCTTCGATATCCACTCCTTGACTCCCGCTAGTGATAAAGTGATAAAAAATCAGAAATATCAATTTCTAGGATTCAAACTCATGACCTCAACTTTTGCTTTCTCTCAATCGTCCATAGCAGATGAGCTACGCGACATATATGTCGATACAATTGATGCTATTCTTTTAACTACATAATTATGAATCTTATATTGTATATTTGACACTCTAAATGATCTCAAATAAAAATGTTGTTAACTGCAGAGTTGTAGTTCTCATCGAGTACTACAACTATGATATTGACTTTATCTTCATTCAACATTGTTAAGCATCTCAAATCGGATCTGAGAACTTATATTGAATATTTAGACATGTAAAACTGTCACACCCGATTTTAAGGATAAAATAGGATGCATAAGCTTATATGCGCCAAGAGATCAGTCACACATATAACTGATAAATTATAAATAGTATCATCACAAGTGTTTATTACATCACGAATAATAAGACATAGTATTCACATAAATGTAGCGGAAGTATAAAGAAAAATCTCTCGCGCAAGCTCCATATCACAAGGACGTCAACTGGTTGACCACAAGTCTAGTAATCCTCAGAAAAGTCGTCATTACCACAGCCATCTGTTACCCATCTGGGATTTTTATCCAAATAATGAAAATAAACAAGTGTAAGTACGTGTCGTACTCAACAAGTGTAACATGGAGTTCATGAGGCTCAAAAGGCTTGACACTGGTTTAACAATATTCAACTTTTAGTTGTCACAATTTTAGCATAAGAGTAGCAACAAGTTATTTTAATCCCAAAGTGAAACACATGATCAATGTAAATATGAATAATGAATAGTATAAACGGATAATTCTTAGTGATCCACTATTCCATAAGGGTTCGAAGGCCGCTCGTGACCGTGAGCACGGTTGATATACCAGTTTTACACTCTGCAGAGGTTGTACACATTCACTGTGAGTCATGATACTCATATGCCTGGGTTTATAACTCC